AGAATTTTATATAATGTGTATGTTCATCCTTGAGAGACTCAGCAGAGATTGTCATGTAAACTAGAGTCCATCAGTTCATAAGCTTTGGGGATCTGTCCTCTGACATCACCGTGCTATTTGTGTTTTTAGCCATCAACAGTAAAAAAACTGTGGGTTAAATTACTACGGTCATGACTGCATATAACACTATACATAGATTTGTTTTTTAATGATTTTGTAGGAGACTATAAATGTTAAAGAGAGAGTTCAGTTCAGTTGAGTGTTTGCCTAGCATGTGCAAGGCTCTGGGTCTGAACTTCAGCACCACAGGACACCCCTACCAACAAAAAATAAAACAACTTGTACATATACTAAATGTTCTTTTGAGAAATAAATATAAACCTTCCACTAAACAATATACCACTTTTCAATTCTGCACCACATAGAATGTGCACGATTAATAAATGACTATAGATCGTTTACTTTCAAATGCTAAAGTTTTAAACCTTATGAAGATTACCTATCTAAGGAGTCATTAAAAAAAAATCTGGGAAGGCAACGGGTGGCCTGAACTAGAGATCCTCTACTGCTTCAGTCCCTATAACTGCTGGACTCACAGTCTGAGGCAAAGGTCAGAGCACATTGCTTCTCTCCATTTTTAGTACCATCTTTTGTCCCTAGTATTAGGCCAGGCAATATACGTCCTTTTTCCTAACTGCTCTTTGCACGGATCTATCAATTCTTTACAGTTTGGTTAAACGTATAAGCAGAAATGTACTCTCTTGTAAATTGCATATAAATTCATTTATCTCATATTACAGAATAAAATGATTATACCTTTTCCTGAAAAAATAAGTATGCAAGGAAAATTAAGAACATCAGCCAAAGAAACTTTTTTTGTAAATGATATGGTATCTCTGACTTTAAAAATTACCATAATCCTTTTCTTCTCTGAAATGAAGACAGGGAGATAAGGAAAGATTGTTTGGTATGCTTTATCAATGCAAGCCCTGTCTGAATCAGGAAATCGGACCTTTTTTATCCCTGTGTCTACAGCTTATGTATTTGACTTTCTGCCCTTTTCATCATTATCACTGGGCCAGATACCAACTTCAGCTGCTCCTGGTCACTCTGCCTGCAGAGCAGCCTAGGCATCAGAGGCAAGGCTTGCAGGCTCACTGTTCACAGGAAGGGACACGACAGCTGCAGACATGGCCTTCCCCAGGTACATATGATGGCATGAACACTGACCCCAAATGTGCCTGACCGTCAGTTCTGTGCCTTGTCAACCTACTTTAGCATACACCATTTCGTCAGAGAGTTAAGGAGATGGAGGAGTGGAGTGCCTACTAACACAAGCTTCAGCTCTTGTGTCCTAAGAGGTGGAAGTATGTTATGATCTTCATAATGATGAAAAGTGCTATTGGACCTTAAAGAAAATTTAGTATATGGGAAAAAATAAAGTCAAACCAAAAGCATGCTTTGTCTATATAAAAGCTAAAACAATCAAAATATATTATGAAAATGGCTTTGCTGTTATGCCTAATTACCTTGCAGCACAATAATGATTACAAGATTATTTTGATCAGTTTAACTTTGACCAGAATAATTATAACTGTGTATTCCAAATATTCAGGCTTTGAGATTTATTGTTTTTAAACAAACATTTACGGGGGTCCTTTATTTGTTTGGCACAACATTGAGAATAACAGTTATTCTCTGATCCACAGAATCAACCAAGCAGGGCTGTAGGTGCTCACAGAGACTGAGTAATAATCACAGGCCATGTATGATCTAAGCTAAGTTGTATGCGTATACATTACATTACAGTTTGGTGTTCTTGTGGGACACCTAATAGTGTGTGTGGGTGGGGGGGGATGTCTCTGATGTTCTTGCCTGTGCGTAGGACCCTTGTCCTCCTACTGGGTTGCCTCATCCAGCCTTGATATGAGGGGTTTGTGCCTGGTCTTATTGTAATTTGTTACCAGTTAATATTCCTGGGAGGCCTGCTCTTTTTCTTCAAGAGAAACGGAGAGGAGAGGACCTGGGGGCGAGGTGATGTGTGTGGAGGGGCTGGGAGGAGTGGAGTAGAGACAGGAAAAACTGCAGCTGGGACTTTATGTAAAGAATAAGCATCTATTCTCCAAGATGCTTACAGTCTTGTTGAGAGAAATAACACAGGCAAACGTCTAGTGGAGACTGACTATAGACAACACATACATACACACACACACACACACACACACACACACACACACATCTATTTTTTTCTTTTTCTCTTGGGACTGGTTTGAGACAGGGTTTCTCTGTGTAGCTATGGCTATCCTGAAACTCACTCTGTAGATCAGGCTGGCCTCGAACTCAGAGATGCACTTGCCTCTTCCTCCTAAGTGTTGGGATAAAACGCATGTGTTCACTATTGCCCAGCTCACCGTTTTTAATAAAAGTAAGGATGTCATAAGAATATCATTGATTAATGCTTCAATAAAGGATTAGCAAAGCTGATTCTGAAGAACAACAGTTAGTCAGAAGGGAAGGTTAGAATGACTTAGAACTCTAAGGCAAAATACACAGAAATGCATTGGCCCTTTGAAAACTAAAGGGACTACATGCGGTGTCGCGCCCTTGAAATACATGTACGTGGAATCTTAAGACAGTGAAGGTTAAAGAAGTAAGAGTGAGACAGGGGAAAGAGAGGCCTTGACTATTAGGTTACAAAGCTGGAAATTTTCCTGCTAAGGAGGAAGCACTAAAACTCTGCCAGGATAATGAGGGTTCAGATGTACCTTTCAGATGAACGGCATAGGCTTCAGCATGTGGAATGAAGTGGTGGAGCTCACCACTGCAGGCCTGTCAGAAGCCAGCTGAAGTCATACAGTGACAGATTCTGGGAGGATCTAGGTTGGGCTGTGAAGAATTGAGGGAACTGGATGGAGTTGTCAGATATGTAACAGTTACAACAGAAATGTCTTAGTGATTGATTGGATATGGGAGAAAACGGGGATAGCTGAGGATGGCTTTCTGACTTAGGCAAAGACATTGCAGAATGTCATTTACTAAGAGAGAAAACAGGCAGATTGATAAAGCTTTGTTTTTACTTTTTATTGATTTTGGCAGTGGACCTAATAAATCATTAACTTAACTAACTTAATTTACTGAGTTTTAACTTAACTGAGACTTATTTGTCTAGAGAGCCATGGTACGTTAAGAAGTGCATAAGTCCAAGGCTAGGGAGAAACCTCAATTTAGATATATATTTAAAATACAGCACTTTACATCATTTGAAGCAAAATGATATTAGCAACTTAAAGAAACACAAGATTTTTTGAGATGAGCTAAGTAAGAACTAAGAAAAATATAGAGAAGATACAACCACAAATAAGGAGAAAACCAAGAAAACATAATTACAAATGTCAAGAACAGAGAATATTTTAAGAGAAAGCAAGTATCAGCAAAGGAAAGTACAAGACAATGGCATGGTGCCATAGATTCGGGACGGAAATACAAACATAATCAAGAAAAACGCTATTATGCACATGTACTGAGACAAAGGACAGCATGTAAAAATGCTGTTGAAGGAGAAAGAAAACAGGATACAATAGACTGTTCCTCTTGAATAGTTCACAGACGTTGAAGAAGCAGCAGATCTATATAGTCTGAAATATAAAAAGTACAAGAACATACGTGCATAATAACACCTACTATTTTTAATGTATTCTTTATCCATACTGATTTGCAGACACACAAAGACTGAAGCAGAAAGTTTACAGGCATATAAACCAAACTTAAGTCCAACAGTTAGCTTTGTAAAGAAAGATGGTATATGACTGGGTGTGTGGCCAATAAGTTTACATCACTTGGCAGTTTTTTCAGCATCGGTATTTCCAGATCTTATAAATACACTTAAAAATACATTTTAGGTGGCCGTGGTGGCTCATGCCTGTAACCTGGGCATGCGAAAAATACTGATGCACAAGGACTGAAAGGTGTTGGAGCGGGGCTGGGTTACACAGCAGAATACTGTGACAGGGACACTAAGAAGAGGAAGGAAACAAAGTGGAAGCAAAGGAAGGAATCTTAAAATCCTGTCAAATCTGGGCACGTGAGGTGTCTCAGCAGGTAAGAGCCATGCAAACCTGATGACTCGCAATCAACACCTGGAATCGATGGAGGAGAGAAAGAACTGACTTCCACAAGTTGTTCTGCGGCATCCATACATGCACCATGCACCACGTTGTGCATGCCTGCATACACATGCACACAAACACACACACGCACACACACACACACACACACACACACATACATGGACACACCCAGATACTTATAATAAATAAAAATTCAAAATCTGTTAAATTTATTTTAAAAATAGATTGAGTAAAGTTAAGATTGAAAGATAGTCAATTGACAATTAAATATTTATGAGCTTTAATAAGAAAAGGTTTGTAAAAATGAAGCAAGCAGAAAACAGTAAATTGAGATGAACTGAGAAGAAAGGCATTTAAAAAAAATGGAAAACTCAAAGAAATGGGTAATGGCAATGGCAAAAATAAAAACCAGTAAAGGATATTTCATGTGAGGAGAAAAAAAGAAAAATTCTCTGGAAGCCTCACTGCTTACTCACAGTTTAGAAAACTAAGAAAGACATGCAGAAGACAGATGTCACAACAGCTCCCATTTTCCTAAGAAGGTCACTTTTCAGAAAATTACAAAGATAGGAATCTGGCCCCAGACTGCTTTCCCTGGGAAAACAGGGTAATAGGCTCCTGGCCTGGTACAGACCTCAGCAGAAAACAACTGAATTACACCAAAATCCCTGACGTTGTTTTGAAAAACACATCAAGGGGAGGAAGCAAGACAGCAGAAAGATGGCCTGGATTTTTTTGCTTGGAACCTTTGGAGGAAATAATCAGAACACCTATAAGAAAAAAAACTTCCCATATGCCTGCCTGACACGCTTGGCTGCTGCTGTTTAAATTAAAGTAGGAACACAAACAAGCTTTTGAATAGACAGCCCTCACCTTAAGAGTTCTACCTGTAGGACAGGCAAATTGTTCCTTTGACGCATCCTATAGGCAGCCTTCTGAGAGTCAGCTGAGAACAGCCAGCTTCGATCATTTGAACATGGAGCATCAACTAACACCTGGAGAAAACAAAGCCAAACAGTGTGAACATACTTAGGATGAGGAATATGGCACAGCTACATGACAAACAGCATGTAAATAAAACCCCTGCCTTAGGGATCCAAACATATGACATGCTAAGTTCTTTGATGTACTTGTCCCTGATAGCTCACAGAACATTTTCCTATGCAGTGTTAGTGTTTGTTTCAATGGAGAAAGGGAACATTAATGAAATAAGTGTCTATTGATGTCTAGTATTGGAATTTAATATTTTTGTTTTGTTTTGGATTTTCAAGACAGGGTTTCTCTGTGTAGCCCTGCCTGGCTGTCCTGGAACTCACTCTGTAGACCAAGTTGGCCTCGAACTCAGAGACCTACCTGCCTCTACTTTCTATATCCCTGGAGTGAAGACATGCACCACTACGCCAGGCTGAATTAAATGTTCTTGATGACCACAAATGAAATTTATAAACGTGACTCATCTTCAGAAAACATAACTGTATTTCTGAACTCACAGTATTTCTTTCTTTCTTTTTCTTTTTTTTACCCTAGTAAAATTTTACATTGCTGGGGGCTGAACCCAGGGCCCGGTGTTTATTTTTGAAAATTATAAATTCAATTTTAATTTACTGAAATGGCTTTTCTTCATCTGTCATACTCTGATATGAAATATTCTGAATTAAAATAAAATGTACAAATATTTTTACTGGTTCGAACGATAACTGATCATTTCCAGAATAACTCTGAGGTACCAGAAAACAGAAAAAACATTCTATAATCCCCAAAGCCAATGTCACTGTTTCCACTGAACCATACTAACCATCAAATGAAAAATGCCTCCACATCCAGTTTATCAAAATCTCCCAGAGCACTGAGAAAGTGTACCATCTGGAAGCAGAAGGCGCAGAACAACAGAGAAACACAATACCGTATCACTAGGAGTCTGTCAGCTTTTCACAATACAATAAAAGTACCTTGTCAAACGTTTCAGGCTGGGCATCTCCCATTTCTCTGCCGTCCAATTCAGACACTTTAATTACATTTATCAAAGGCTGTGGGATGAAAGATTCCAACGTCTGTCTCAGCCATCTCACTCTCAGACTATCATATTCGTTACAAAGAAGATAACCTAAAGATAAAGGATTAGAAAGTTCCAGAGTAGTCTGAGGCAAGAGAACAGGGAAAGTTTTACTTTTTAACAAATAGACTTCAGAAAAATCAATCCTTTGGAGTTATATAGAGATATGGCTCAGAGGTAAACATTATGATAACTTTAAAAACAAAACCACATACTTTATTAAATATTTGCTTCACATCCTCCCGGAAGCACTCATGTTTATTCAATCAAGTTTAATTTGTGATGTGAAACTTATAGATTCCTAGAGAGGTGGCACAGCCATTTCCTCATGTATAATAGTCACCCTGAAGTACCAGCTGCGCAGAGTACGCAATATAGTCTGATAGGTGTGTAAAGTTCCTTGCTGGGACAACACATTCATTTTAAATGAAGGAAAGTAATGCAGTGTCAAATAAAATGGGTAAGAATATAAGCTACCAGTAGGGAAAACATGGGTTTAAACTGTGAGCTGAAAACCTAAGACAGTTATTTAACTCTGTGACAGCCTTTGTTACCTTGTGGCGATTGGTAAGATGGGGATCATATTTGCACAATGGTTTTATGATTAAATGGGACAGAAACTCAGAACAAGATGGTGGCTGAAGAAATGGTGACCTCCCCACAGAGACAATGGTTTAAGGGCATGGGGAGTCAGGTAAGAGGCAGTGTCTGGTCTTAGCACAGAATAAGAAATGCAGTGAAGAATCAAAGAGGTGCTCTTGTCCATACCCTTCCAGTTCTAGGCAGTGTGATGAGAGGCTCCTCTTATTTGGGGGAGGGGAAAGGAATCAAGTCCAGACTTTGACTTGAAATCCAGTAGCATAACCTGTCACAACAGAAGTCTGTGCCAACTAGTTTTATAGCTATTACTTGCAGACTGTGACTGTATGTTCTCCTTTGTTAGGCAGGCAGGTGCTGACACCACTCCTCCACCAACCTTGGGAAGCAGAGTGAGAAATGTGATTCCAAGTAATGGAAGTGTTGTGGATATAGGTGATAAGTCTGTTTGCTATGATGCTTGTAGCATTGTTTGTTATCTGAGTTAGTTGGGGCCAGCTGGAGTCAGGAACGTTTCATGTCTTGCGAAAACCTGTTAAAGAATTCTATATCCCTCATTCCTTCCCATGTTATGCTTTCTATGCTGTTCAAATAAATACAGAGCTAAGATTCTTCTTAGGGATACAGCCATGGACATAGACACAGACACAAGGACAGACAAAGTAAGACAGCAGTCAGGCAAGCACAGATTCAGATTCATGCAACAGATTACAGATAGAAGAGAAGATGGAAGACACAGGGAAAGAGAAGTAAGCAATCCAAACCTGGGCTCGCTCTTGGTAAAACTACTCCAAGGCCAAGATTATGATTTCTTTTCCTTAATACAATACACATTTATTTGAGGCTGTGGCTAGTGTGATAAATTGATGATAAACGACCCAGTGCCAGGTTGTTACAACACCAGGCAGATCTTAGCAATCCCAGTCCTCAGGCCAATGTCCATGGACAGAGCTCCTAAACTGTCTGAATGCCACCATCAACTGAACTTGTAACCTAGCCAGCATCTCTTATGGTTGGATATAGATGCTCTGGACCATGAATAAACATTAATCCACCAAGGAACAGACAGTATATAGCAATGCAAGTCTTAGTGTCCCTCTGTTATGATGGTCTTAGTAGCCAATATACTCTGTGCACAGTGTTTTTAACCATGGAACTACCAACTCCAGTTCTTCTCTGACTCCAGACAAATCAGAGGGAGCAGCTGTCCACTTCAAGGCAAGTAAAGTGCACGATACTGGGGTAGTGGGACGGTCAGTGAGTAAAGGATCTGCCACTAAGTCTGACAACCTGAGTTTGAGCCGTAGAGCATAGAGAAATGAGACCTTTAATTCCTGAAAGTTGATCCCCAGGAACACGGGAGAGGAGGAGATAACTGATTACTGCAAGTTGTAAGTTGACCTCTATAAGCGTGCCCCTGCAAGAGTACATGTGGAGGTACATGTATAGGTAGGTAAGTAGGTAGGTAGGTAGGTAGGTAGACAGACAGATAGCTAGCTGTTGTTGATATTTATTTAAGGAAATATGAGGGAGTATACATTAATCCACCAAATAAAGTGTGGCACAGAAGTTGATACAGCTCTATTGCCTGTCCATAGCCCAGTGGCTGCAGCTACTGCTATCCCAGCTTTGGAGTAGGGTTTGTAACGACAAACCACTACAATTAGGCACTCCTCTAGGTCGTTCTAAATTACATATCTACTGAATACACGTGACAAAATATGGTTTAGGGAATCAGGGAGCTGAACCAGCAGCTACAACAACAACAACAAAACCCTACAGTAGAATTGTGATAAACCTAGACTCAGGGTGCCATCTAGTGCTGAAATACCAGAAAGGTCCACAGACTCACACAAACTACTTAGAACTCTGAAAGAGCAGCCACAAAAATAGTTAGATTATAGACTGGGAGAAATAACTAATGTTTATGCACAGCCTATGTCATAAGTCAAGCATCAGAATTCACAGAATCATGACAACGTCTGATGGATAAAATAAGAAACTGACCAGAAAACAAACTGCCCCTGGCTAATGGAAAGAGCTAAAGGTAGCACTTTTAGGGAAACTTAGTAAGCTTCAGAAAACTCAGAGAAATGACAGATTAAAGCGACTTTTAGAAATATCAAATATTTAAATGCAACAAAAGGCAGGAATAGCAGAACAGATCAAACAATGACAACAAAACTCCAGCTGCCTTGAAATGAGAGTATTTGAAAATATACCGTTGAAGGAAAAAAAGTAAGTGAAAAGGGAAGCAATGAAGAAAGTCTGTGAGAATTTGGGGTTACCACAGAAAGAGCAAACACATGAGTTGCAGGGGTCATGAAGGAAGGGAGAATGTCAATGAGGTAGAGCAGACTTCACGAGACCCCTCCCCAAATCTAGACAAAGAGACAGAAATCAGATGCATGGATGTCAATGGTCACATCGGATCCAAAGCAACCAAATTCACCTTGGGGTATATTATGACTGAGCCCTCAGACTGAATAAAGAGACAATACTAAAAAGAATAGAAATGTGAAAAAAAATTCCAGCACATATGAGGGAGTAGCTAAAAGGGCAAATACTACTAAACAAAGTGTTCATTCTAATATTTTCTACCAGCAAAGATTAACCAGATGTCTAAACCTTACTACTGTCAGCGAGAAAAATCTCCCTCTAGAAGGACTCCTGTCCTCGTGGAGAAGCTTGACCATGCCACCCCAGTAAACTGCATCATCCCTTGTGAACAGTTCATATTTTACTGTTTAGGATCATAGGTGTTTGCTCTTTCTTCAGTAAAAACCAGCACACTGCAAAATCTGTGCTAATGACAACAGTAATAATTTTAAAAAGCCAGTCCTTCACTGTGGTACAGGTGAAAGAAGTACCACATCTTTCTGGATCAACAGACAGACAAGCAGACTAATTCTTTACCCTAAACCCTTCTGTCATCCAAAGCCACAGCCTCGTTGCCTAAAATAATGTCCAATGTAAAGAAAGACAGTGCATAAATCGCACATTTAGCATGGCCTTCATTTTCAGTTTTGCTATGGAAGCACTGACTAGCATTGCTTCTGCATTCCGCATTTGAATAGTGTGGCTAACTTAATTTGGGTTTTCAACATCACCATGAAGACATCAGTGCCTTGGTGGGAACCATTATCATTGGTCTATTGGATGAAAAGCTACTTCATTTGGAAAACTAGTGGTAGTTCACTGTCCTTGGTGAGGACCTGCCCTATCTTCAAAGTCCTAAATGTGATCAGGAAACACCTTTGTTTCCGAGCCAATTATCATCATCACTACAAATGTGAAAAGTATCTCTAACCTACAAAGGAGGTGGTTTAAAGTTAAAAATGCAACTTGTTAAAATGGAACTAGACTCAGATATTTCTCTCCCATATCCTACAGTATTACATATGCTATACCTAAAATTAATAAGCTTGAAAGAGTCGATTAAGAACATCATCAAGTAACATAGAAAGAGTGGGTGTAAAACAAATACTTATAATAAATGAGTTCACAAAAGCACAGTCAAATTATAAAAATAATAATGTAGCCTTACTATTTACTTTTATTTCTTATAACAAAACACATAAAGCTTTGGGTGCAGAGTTTTATCGGAAATCTAAAACATAAATTGTATTTTTTTCTTTTAAATATTAATATATCTGTACCACAGCCAAGTACAACTGGCTTCACATTTTGAATATGCTTCCAAAGGAAGAAATAAATTAGCAGTCTACACGCTAGAAGATGCATGTCCTGGGGGAAAATAATACCTTTCTAAGAGACAGGCCAGCTTGGAGGATCTGAAGAAATTGCTGTTTAGATCACCCACTTCCTAAAGGCATCTCCTTCCACATGGCCACTCACCAACTTCATAAATAATGGCAAGCTTCTCACTCATACATAATCTAAGAAAATAAGCTAGAGTTTTGAAACCTCCAGTACAGTAAAGAAGTACAGGTTAAGACACTAAGAAGCTAGAGAAAAGGCTCAGCTGGTCAGAGCTCTTGCTGCTCTCTTAGAGGACCAGAGTGTGAGTGCGCACATCTGGTGGCCCACAGCTGCCTCCACCTCCAGTTCCAGGCTATCCAAAGCTCCTTTCTTACCTCTTTGGGTATATGTGTGTGTGCACTTTTGCACACCCCCCCATACATACACACATACACATACATACAAACACACACGCAAAATAAATCTGAAAAAAAAAACAGTGACTTTTTGTTGAAAGAGTGATGTGTTAACAACTGAGCAAGCAAGTGACTGGGCTTCAAATTTACTTTTGAAAAGCTGAGAACAGTTTAAAGAATGCTCACCTAGCCAATCATTAAAATAATGCCTGCTGCCCCTGGTAGCTTGCAACCATAACTCAGAAGGAATTTAAGCAACCAATGTAACCAGCATAGCAAGGCTCTCAGTATTTCAGGGTTTTTTTTTTTTTTTAATCAGTGTGAACAGTAAGTAAACCTAAGATCATAAAATACAACCAAATTGAACTGGAACTGAACTATGCCTCATCTAGCAATCACTAACATTCAGAGAAACATGAATTAGGGTTTTAAAAGTTTTAGCAAAATGATCACTAACATTATGAAGAAATTTACAATGAAATAGGTTTATTTCATGTGTGCATGTGTGTATTCATGTTCATGTGTGTGTACACATGTATGGCTAAGCAAGCATGTAGAGGGGGCAGAGGTTGACTTTGAGTATCTGTCTTTGTCCATAGCTCTCCACCATAGAGACCTTCCTGGGTCTTGTCAGTGCTAAGAGTACAGGTCAGGCAAACATGCACAGCATTTTCTTTAAATGCTGGTACTGTGAATCCAAGCTTATTAGGTCCTTATGTTTACATGGCAAATACCATACTGACCGAGACAGACCTCCAGCCCCTGGACTTAACACCAATATCAGCAACAATAACAAAATCACTACAAAAGAACTTACTCCACTGTTTAATACTATCTTCTCTCGCCATATGTAGTGATGAGAAATTGACCTGTGTTCTAATAGTAAAACAACTAATTTCAAAGACCTCTAAGAAAAATGAGAGTGTAAAATACTTCTTCAAATACCTTTATTGTGATTATGTGCTCAAGGAGTACCTTGGTACTCCAAAAAGTGTCAAATTAATTTTACCTCTTACTCCTTTGTAAAATAAGAATATTCAAAAATATTGAAGTATTTTATGTGTTACATAGTATCCATCTACTAAACAGAACTGTTTTTGAATCATATGGTCCAAGAAACAACACAACAAAGTGATTTTAAATGGAGTTTTGTGTGTTTGACAAAGCTCTGACAATGGCATCTAGGCAACCACTCAAGTATAATGAACTCAGTGGCAGAGTACTTCCCTAGTCTGAGAGGCAATGTAAATGCTATCCCCAGCATTCCTCAACTATGTTTTCTGTTCTTACTCGTGGTGTTCTAACTCGTATGCGGGCTCCCTAACACTGCATACCCATGCTCACATTTCCCTTCATCGATTTCCAAAGCGTCAGAGACTCTCAGATGTGACAACTGTGAGGTGTGGCGAGGACAGACAGTACCTGGGGAAGCACACTGTAGCAGGGCTACTGATTTGCCTCCAGGAGCAGCACACAGGTCCAGAACGGTCTCCCCGTCACTCGGTTCTAGAGCCAGGACTGGGAGAAGGGAGGCAGCATTGAGGAGGTAGTACTTCTTCAAGCTTCCGGCCTGATGTCTCTCTGAAGGCATTCGATCTGGAGATCGGCTGAGGTAACACTTCATTGATTTAGGATAATACGGTAAGGACCCAGGAAGGATTGTGTGATAGCCCCTCAAATGTAAGTCCTTTTCCAGCTCCAAGGGGTAATTGAATCGGTTGAAGAGGACTGCATATTGCCACAGTGACGGAGATACTAGAACATCCCTACGGCAGAAAAAGAGCAACTAAATGAGTGTCAGCATCACAAACTAGTGTGGTCTTATACGATTAATAGGGTGAATGTGGTCCTAGGATTACACTTCATCTACCTGTGAGTTTTCAGACAGGATCTGTAATGGTTAATCTGAGCTGCCAAAGTTACAGAGCTGAGAAAAAAACTATATTTAGTGCTGCACTGTTCCGTATGTGTCTATGAGGTGATTAGTTCATGAGGCGCTTACCTAATCAAGAAATTAATCCCTGCTGGATTTCTACATTATGCCACAATTGGGGATGATGAAAAGTTGGATGTGAGGCTTGGTTGGGAGGTACGAATCACTGGGGTGGGGCCTGGGAAGGTAAAGTTTGCCTAGCCCCTCCTATTCCCGTACCTATATCCAGGCCCTGTGAATGGCTTTTCCCACTTTCCTCTCCCCACCCATCACGAACTAACACTTCTCAATGCATGAGCAAAATAAACCTCTCACTTTCCATCATTTCCACAGCTACTATCCCCGCAACCCAAAAACCGGACTAATACAGGATAGGTCTTCCCAACTTTTCCTTTTGCCTCATAAGCTCATGATGTGGCCACCCTGACTTTATTTGAAAATATAATTAATTAATTAAGTGATACACTCTGTTTATTTTAATATTAATTTTGATTAATGTATTAGGAATGGAAAAAGATTGGGAAGAAAGCAGAGGGTAAAGGAATTTCCCTTACAAACATGAGGATACTCAGCAGCTAGGTACAAAATCAGGCATGGCTATAACCTGTGTTATAACTTGGCATTGTATGCCTGTAACCCCAACATTGAGAGGGCAGACAGTTGAGCTCTCTACCAGTCAAGGGCAAGCTTCGAGTTCAGTGACAGACTCTACTGAAGGCTTTAGAGCAAAATGCAATAGATGAAGACACTTGAAGTTCTGCTCTGACCTCTGCTTGTATGTCTCAGATACACACACCCACACAGGCATGTGCAACCACACACTCACATGCATGCACCAAACAAATCTCTCTGCCTCTCTCTCTCTCTCTCTCTCTCTCTCACACACACACACACACACACACACACTAACCAAGTGTTCTGTGGTTTTTAAACTGCGGACCATAGAGGAATGCTTTACTTACCTTTGCTTCCACACCACTGAAGTTTTGCCCTCCAAAAGTGACTTGTCTAGAACTTACATAACTTTGCATCCGCCACAAAGCAGTTTTGTTGGGCATAGAGAGATGGCTTAGTAATGGTTACAAGTGCCTAACGATCTTGGAGAGGACCCACATTCAGTTCTCAACACCCACATGGAAACTCACAACTGTCTATAGCTCCAATCTTGGGGATACAATGCCCCTATCCAGCCATGCAGGCTCCTGAACACACATAGTGCAGATGAACATGTGCAGGCTCACACTCACATAAGTTAATACTTTTTAAATAGAATAAAATCCAGGAAAAATAGTTTTAAATCTGTCACAAAAGGTTTTCTTTAGTTACCAAATTTAAGGTCAGGGAGTGACCCAGGGAAAAGTAATATAAAAATAACATATTTGAAGGAACAAGCACTAAGCTCTTCTCCAACAAAAATAAGGGATTTGCAAAGCTAACTTTGGTCAACTCTTCAGTAATGGAATTAATCAGGTGACACAAGGTTCAGATGATACAGAGCCAAGGATATGAAAACCTCTCAAGGACTGATATGTAGGGCTGCTGTCAGCAGCTGGACCTTCCTAAATCTGTATTCCGTCCACTATTAGGTTTTCTGACAATCCCAAGCTCCCATCAACCAAAAGACAAGGCAGCAGGAAACATTTAATTTATTTCCTAGCTGACCTTTCTGGCTGAGTTATTTGGAAGCCTCATTAACCATGGTCAATTAAATAAATTCCAGCTACTACTCCCTCTGAAGTTGCTTATGTGAGAAATGGCTGGATTGAAATGTAACACCTGTGACACATGCCTGCCACATGAATTTCAATTACACCTGAATTGTGGACTGCTTTTGCCTTTCATTGCCTCTTGCTTACTATGGGCGGTGCATCTATTTTGTTTACTTTGACTCTGGATCCTGTTTGGAGTTACCAAATCAGCAGGATAGGGCCTGCTATTTTTGTTTCGTTTTAGGACAACTGGTGACTTACTCACTTACTTGTGTGTGGGCATGCACAATCAAATGTGCAGGTGTGTATACACCTCAGTTCCCGTGTGGACAACTTCTTGGGGTCAGCACTCACTCACCTCCCACCTTACCTGAGGCAGGGGCTCCCTTGTTACTGCTGCTGCACTTAGTAGCTCAGGCTAGCCAGCTTTCCGGCTTTCAGGCAATTCTTCCTCCACCTCCTATCTTGCTCTAGGACTACTGGGATTAGAGGTGTGTGCTGTAGCACTCAGTGGACCTGAGCTAAGGTCAGGCCTGCTTAGCGAGCACTTTTACCCACTGATCTATCTCCCCCACCCAGAACATAGAGTAGAGCTGTGACCAGCTTTGGTCAGAGCTTAGTTTTGTAAGTGGTCAACAGTGAATGTTGATTCCTGGCCAGAGTACTGCTGAATTTCAGGCTATAAATGGCACATTTGTATCACAGTCTTCCCAAGGGTCAAGGGCCATTTTGGAAGAAGCAGAAGAAAGAGAAAGATGGGTATAGGTGTGTATTGCTGACTTCCTGGCATGAGATGGCTATTGCATTCTTGGATTCACAGCAGAGTAATTCCATGCAACAGATCTACACAAGATTGGACCAGTCAGCACCTTGTTATGGAAGGGGAAGAGACTCATGAAGACTTATACACAGCTAATGGTTAGAGAGAAACAGAGAAACATTTTCTTCATTGCTGGAGCCACAGGTATGCTGCCCAAGTTTCTGCAAGTTGTAACCCATGCCCCAACTGATATCCCTAATGATATTCATTAGGTCACACACTCAGACACTTGCGCGCGCGCGTGCGCGCACACACACACACACACACACACACACACACACACACACACACACATACATATAAGACATGAAAGTAGAGCCAGGCAGTGGTGGCACACGCCTTTAATTCCAGCACTAGGGAGGCAGAGGCTGGCGGATCTTTGTGAGTTTGAGGCCAGCCTGGTCGACAAGAGCTAGTTTCAGAACAGGCTCCAAAGCTACAGAGAAACCTTGTCTTCAAAAACTGCAAAAAAAAAAAAAAAAAAAAGAAAAGAAAAGGAAAAAAGAAAAAAGAAAAGAAAAAAAGAAGAAATGAGGGTAATTGGGAAGAAAAAATATTATCACGAGTGGACTGGGAACAGAGAAGGTAATAGACAGAGTACATGTACATAATCAAAATATATTATGTACAAGTATGGAACCGAGATAATGAAACCTACTATGCATAATTAATATATGCAAGACCCTGTCTCAAAAATCAAAACATAAATAAAAATAAATCTACCCAGTGAAACATGACTATATTGAAGGTGACACCTATCACTGTTCATTTAGAGTTCATATTAATGATTCTTCAATAAATAGAAATACACTATTCCTTTCTTTAACTTTTTCCACTATATTTTTATGCTTTAAATCCTTTTCATTCTTTTCTTAGGTTTTTACTTTTTCTTTTCTTTTTTTTTTTTTTTTGTGACAGGGTTTCTGTGTAGCCCTCGCCTGCCTATCTGTCTTGGAAACTTACTATGTGGACCAGGCTTACCTCAAACTCACAGAGATCCACCTGCCTCTGTCTCCTGAGTGCTGGGATTAAAGGCATGTGCTACCATGCCCAACTTGTAATCCATTTTTAGTCACAGTTTTATCCACATTTCGCACTTCGGTGGCATGCCCACTCACATACACAATTTGCATGTAGTATAATATTTGCTTTCCCTGTGGTTTAAATATAAGTGTAAAAATAGTAATTTCTAGATTTTATTGTCAATAACCAATGAAAATTTGCTTAAAATTTGATATTTATTAAACATAAGTAAATCTGCTAAGAAGCTGGTATCTTAATGAAATACGTGCTGTGGAACAATGGTCTGTATCCTGTCACTTGCATTTTCATAAAGTGCTGATTGGCCAGTAGCCAGGCAGAAAGTAGAGGTGGGGCAACAAGAACAGGAGAATTCTGGGGAGAGGAAAGGTCAGTCTGTAGTCATCACCCAGACACAGAGCAAGAAAGATGAGAACGCCTCACTGACATAAGTTACCAAGCCAAATGGCTAACACAGGCAAGAATATGGGCTATTTAAGATGTAAGAATTAGTTAAATAAGAAAAGCCTGAGCTACTAGGCCATCGAGTTTATAATTAATGTAAGACCTCTGTGTGTTTCTATGGGACTGAATGATTACAGAACCAGGGAGGACAGAAACCTCTGTCAACAAATAAGCTCTTGTTTCCACATATCTATAGATGACTATTTTTTTTTTTTTGCTAGAATGATACAGGGTTCAAGATCAATTTTATGCCTATTTTGGATTTTTATAAAGCAAAAAAGATTCCCACTTAGGTCAGTTAAAATGAAATGTTTTGTAAAGTTAAATACACTTGCTAAGTTTCCCTCCTTGAATTCTTCTGAATTATGTCTCCAAAACTGCTACTGATCCATCCATCACCAAAAATATTTTAATGAGCTGTCAATTGCAGCTGCTTAGTTTTGTTGAAATCAAGCCCTGGAAAACATCTCAGCTGTCAAACAATTTTCCATTTACTTTCTAAGTCCTGATGTTGACATCCCATGACTTGAGCATATGTGGATTTTGATGCCCTAGAGAAATGCTTTATAGAGGATGGATAAATAGCTCAGAGATTAAGCATTTGTTTTTCTTATAGAGGACCCATGTTTGGTTCCTCGCATTCACATGGTGGCTCCCAACCACCTGTAATTCCGTTTCCAGCGATCTGATAACCTCTTCTTACCTCAAACACTAAACACTCACACGGAACACATATACACCCATGCAAGCAAAAAACAAACTAAGTAAATCTAAAACATAATTTTCTAAAAAAAAAAAAAAAAGGAAAATCCTGATTGTATGAAAGTCAGGATAAATAAAGCATGGCTAAGTGTACACAGCATAAATGTGGATTCAGCTTTGTTGTTTTTCTGGTAGGAGGACCAGAGAAAGGCACGTTGGGAAGTACTGATTTAGGTAGATGGAATGGCACTCTTCTGAAGGGGCTTAGAGACTGCTAAAACTTGCTGAGACTGTCTATGCCTGCAAAAGTCTTTGTGATTCACATTTCTTATGCTTACACAACATGAAAAGTCATTGTTGTCTTCTTGCTAAGATTTATTTATTCATGCTTTAAATGAACACTATGCTTTGGCCACATGCTATTATATAGTCACAATATAAAATTCTGAATGTTTCAATCTTACGTAAAATGACTTTAAAAGACAACAAATAAAACTGAACTTGAACACAGTACTAATGTTCTTACTTTCCACTAGAGGGTGCTCACTAGATCACTTTAAAGGCTGGGCTCAGGAAACTCAGGATGCAAGGAAACACACACTTAAGTTGTTTCCAAGGCATTACATCTTTGGCTTTATTTTTTTAGTGATTTTTAACATGGGGCTTCTCATCTTTTCTTGGCAATGCTTCCCAGGGGTTGTCTAAAACTACTGGAAAACACAGATACTTACACAGTCAAAGTAAACAGAAATAACTTTAGAGATGAAGGGATCACCACATGAGGAACTGTATTAAGGAGTCACAGCATTCAGAAGATTGAGAAGCAATGGTGTATATATTTATGAGAATTCATTTCCTCTCTTAAATAACAATGGAATAAGTCCGACGGTGGAGGCACACGCCTTTAATCCCAGTACTCGGGAGGCAGAGGTAGGTGGATCTCTGTGAGTTCGAGGCCAGCCTGGTCTACAAGAGCTAGTTCCAGGACAGGTTCCAAAGCTACAGAGAAACCCTGTCTTGAAAAACCAATAATAATAATAACAACAACAACAACAACTATGGAATAGATACTATTTTGCTTGATTTTCAATAACTCATCTAAGTGATATGCTACAAGATGCTGAGAGCTTTGAACCCACACTCCTAACTAGTAGAAGGAAGGCAGGGTATATCTGGCAGAGGGGACATCATATCTAGTACCAAAGGCACAAAAGAGCCTCTTTGCTCCTATCATTTTGGTTCAGATGCAACACTGCACATGGTGAGGCATAAAGAGGGTCTGTGGGCAGGGTGACACGCTGGAACATGGCAGCTCTGAGAAGCAGCTTGACAGAGTGGTTAAGAATAATCCACAAGTCTTCTCCAAATACAGGGGATATGTGCCTTCTCAAGTAATTTGACCTCTGCATGTCTGACTATTGGTGAGTGGAAATAACTGTACCTCACAGGGCGGCTGTCAGATTAAAATGATGAGAGCGCTACCTGGAACACACTGCCATGACAGTGGAGGCTAAAGCAAGCCACCAACAAATGCAGAAGATGAAAGATGATGGAGACGGCAACATGCCAGAGAGACGAGGATGGCTACCTAGACAGCAAAGACAGACAGAACTTAAAGTGTATCCAATAAGAACATCTCTTAGGGAGAAGCAACAGCCCTTGGCAGCCAATTTCCCTTTCTCTAAGGGAAGGAGAGATCCCTGAGAATATACAGATAGAGTTGCCAAGACTATGCAGTTTTCACAGCAATTACAACTTCAGGGATCCCAGAGGTCACACCCAGAGTCAAAAATTCATAGAACACAATGAAAACTGCTGTACTCGCATTCATGAGCATTGGGGACTACAGCAAATGCACTGAAGCTCAAATATATCATGGGAAGAGACAACTCACAGGGCTCTGTTGGCTCCAGTGGCTCAGAAAAGTCTAGCTTTTCTTGGCAGCACTGTGGGGTAATCCTGCCAACCAAGGATGCTCACAGAAACTTAGGTACCCAGCTGTTTTGCAGATTCTGTCATGGAGACCTAACTGACAGTTCTTATAGTCAACTTTAATTAGTCACCAACCTCTCCTGGATGTTGTCCCTTTATCTGTGGTCTAGAACGCCCTCTGTAAATCACACGGTTAGACTAGCAGGTGTGGCACAAAGTCCCAGAAACACATCTCCCTCCTATCAAGGCAGAAGCAGGACATATCAAGGGTTTAGAGATCACTTCTCGGGAGCTGAGAAAAAACACCAGACGTACTTTCCAGTAACCTTTCTTCTTTATTACAAAGATACTAAAGATCTAATGAAGTAAGGATACAAGATTGGCAGTAAGGCCCCCAAAGGAGGAATGTAAGTCAATCCTCAAAGCAATACAGGTTTAAAGAGAGCACTTGTGTGAGTATGTTGAGCAGGAAGGCCAGAGTAACTGCTGGAAAATGCAGGTAATGCACTAAATCTGAAAAAGAAGGACGGAGTGTAGGAAGACATCACATGAACGAAAGGTTAAATAAAGCTCTGCTGGGAAGGGACTTCCTTGAAAGCAAGAAGCTGGAAGCAAGTACAGCAAAAGGTGAAATATGAAAACCCATTGCTACAGAAACCTGAGAAACGTCAATCACTTTCTAGATGAGAGAGAGGTAGGGCAATGCTAAAAGAAAAATCTTTACAGAACATTATGTTTGCAGACAGTTATCAAACAAACAAGTCATTCAGTTCTCTTCCTATGCTGCCTTCACGGTCAGTCTTTCTAAGAAAGCCTTCATTTTCCTACAGCAAATTTAGTACATGTTTATGCAAAACTTAAGTTACCATGAAATCCTACCAAAAGGGGAGATGGAACAGAAGGCACAGCTAATTAAATGGCTTTGAGGTTCACTGCTCATTTTGTTCAGGGTCAAATAGTAATTTATAAGTCTTTCTGGGTACACGAAGTAGAAAATCAACTCATTACAAGGTATGAATAGCCAAGTTACTAAAAAGTCTCTAGACAAACTACTTCTCGCAATTTTTTTGTTTTCAATCACACAAGTATGCTAATTATATCTCCGGTAGGAGACAGCACTGTCAGTAGTGGGAAATCAAGACTAAGACAGACTGGGCAAAAGTCCCACTTCTACTTACTAACCAACTGAATGAATGTAGAGAAATTACTTTAACTCCATGCTATAACCTCAGAAGAAATACTGAAAGCAAACCTGAAGTTTGTTCCCAGAAGGACATAGGTAGGTACTGCTTGCATACAATAGTCATGCAGGGTAGCCCATGTGAATATGTTTACATACTAAAAACCTCATGAATTCATTATATACTTCACTATGCATTTTTGATAGAAGGATCACTATGAAATGCAGGATTGTTAAAATAACTGTTGCATTTTCAATTATATTTGTAAGTTTCCCAAATATCTAACCATCCTAAAATAATCTTTGACCCACTTCATATTTTATTATCTTTATTAACAAGACTTAATTTCTGTCTTGAAATATGCTTCAAGCTGTTCTGTGAAAAGAAGAAATCTTATGTTAATCTAAGAATCTAAAACAATCCTGAGGAGTTACTGTCTGAGCTAAGTTGAGGACTATCTGCAGTCATACATTGTTCTCTTTACTGCATGCAATATTGGGCAATCTCCACCCAGCCCTTATTGTCTGGTTCCTTTTACCAAGTTAATTCCAAAACCACCAGTGGCTTTCACAGGCACCCACACACATCAGTAAATAAAATACGCCATTCTTGCTCCATGTTTCTGGAATGTTTCCCATGCCCCTCCCATTTACTTCTCCCATGAACAGACTGCATATAAAATAGACAGGGATATAATGTTCTTTGTATTCCAGGGGGTATCATATATGCATATCAGGCACTCCATATAAAACCCCATTCACTATCATTCTGATCAAGATAACAAATGTTTTTGTCTCTTAAAGAATTACTGAATTTACTTCAGGGACATGGAGTATGAGTGAGCATGGAGCTCATAGGACAACTTACAATGGGGACCCCCTTCTGGTCTCCAGCCTTCCCTCCCCACCAACTGAACCTTACTTAGCATCACACAGGCCCACTGCTGACTTTTCTGCATTACATGCTTATTTTTAAGAAAGACATTTAGACTTGTCCATGTGCCCATATGTTCAAAATACAGACACAATGGTGACTGACTGCCAAATAAAATATGACTTTAGGTAAGATAAAGGAGCATTGACTTTAAGGATTTGTTATTTTCTGAATTTCCGAAAGTAAAATTTCTTCAAGGTTAGGACTTTTGTTGTGACACAGTTTTAAAATGCAGTGCAGTTCCATTTTTAGAGATAAAAGTAATTGCTTCGGAGGAGGACACTCACTTTTACTATCATTTTCTTTCTCCATTTTTTGAAACCCATTTGTGGCCCGTACCTACAGTTCAAGCAGCTAGTTGATTCCTTCACCCGTATTTTGTTTGTTTGCTTGTTTTGTTTTGTTTTTTGAGACAGGGTTTCTCAGTAGCTTAGAAGTCTGTCCGGGAACTAGTGCTCATAGACCAGGCTGTCCTTGAACTCAGAGATCCATCCACCTGTCTGTATTCTTACTGTACCCTTCCTCCCAAAATGTGTATACTACATTTTTTATCTGCAAGGTGCCGCTCTCATCAAAGAGGTATACCACAAGCTCCCACTATTCTGTCAAAAACAGCAAGAGATGAATTACACTAACCTTACTGTACTCCAGGAATCCCCAAGTTCTTTGGAATACTGTTTGTCAAACTGGTCCAACACAACTCTGCATAGCTGTTTGGCGAGCTTCCCGTCTGACTTTGCTTTCAGCTATGATGGTAAGAGAAAATTGCGAACGACACATTGTGATATTAACAAATTTATTGAAATTTGACATTAACATGACCTTAATCTTTTTGTTTACATCTGTATTTATTCGTTGAGCATTTCATTACATTTTCAATGCATTAATAACCATGCCCACACACTTCTCCAACTCCTCAGACTACCCCTGTACGGTTCTCTCCCAACTTCGTGTCCGTTTTAAAAATAATACATAAGTGAAATGGGTGCGAAGAAAACTAACTCTCTCACAGCGACAGTCACCTACTGCCAATAGCTACTCGGCCAAGAGAGAGGCTTCCTGCTTTTAAAGAACTACTTACAATACTTACTGCCTTGGGAGCAACACCTCCACCTCACTTATGACAAAATTTTATTATTGATAGTCTACCTACTTATTAAAATGGCGTTTCTCAAGCCCAGGTTAAAGGTGGATCTATGCTAAGAAAATTTCAGAAGGCATAAAAGTTTTGGATTTGTTTTTTATTAAAGTAACACTGTGCAGATAAATCACCACGGCTGCGTTTCCGTGAACGTAAAATTACTCCAAAATAACGTTTATTTACGGTGTTTATTTACGGAAATAAACGTTGCTGTAACTTCCAGGAACGAGCAGCAATTGCTTCACTTATCCACCCAAGCGCACCGAGGGCCGAGCCAGTTGGCAGAACGAAAGGCACGGGCACCCGGGAGCGAGGGGGAAAGAAGCACGAGGACCGCGTTCGGCACGGCTCCCCATCCCGGTCCGCCACGGCTCTCCGCGGCTTCAGTCCCAGGCACTCCGCCCGAGGGCCTCACCCGAGTGAGCATGCTCCCGCCCGAGCTCGCAAACTACCGATTTTTCGCAGGGTTCGTCCAAGAACAAAGAAAAACGCCACACTTCCGGGTTCTGCTAGGAGCTCACGGGTTGCCTTACAGTTCCGGTTTCCGTTCTCGCGAGATTGTACTTTCAGTCCCCCAAATCCCGCCGTAGGCACAGGTCCCGCGAGACCTGCTCCGAACCTCCGTTTAATTTGCGCTGGGCTAAGTAGAGAGCCTGGGTGTTCCTTTCCTAAGTCACCCTTCGCATCCGTACCCGTGGAGTCGACTAACGATCTTTATCATTATTAGGCTGTCAGAGTTAAAGCCAGAGGCATGGTAATTTATAAGCCCCAGCTCCACGTTGAGGGAAGCACTAAAAGGGTTAAGTTGTGCTTTTCCTTGGGATCGCCTGAGATAAGGCAGCCTTAGAATGGGAAGTGTGAAATATTCCACTGAAATACCGAGTAAAGCTTTCACCAGAGACTAGGAGCCGAAGACTGGCTGATACTATCACCAGCCTGACAGACAGGAGACATTTGTGTCTGGGTGTATAAGCCTGTAGAAGTGATGGACCCCAAAGAAATGGGAGAGAAGGGAAGGGGACCAGTCAGAGGGGAACTTGTCTCCTGAAAGATTTTCAACAGTTGTAACATGTCAGACCATCTTCTACAAGAGGAGATTAAAACCCAGATAATGATTGCCCCCTAGTTCCAGGGACCACGGATGTTTCATTAGGATCCCAAAGACCGACATGTGGGAGTGTTTAGTGTATCTCTTTGTTCCTTTTCCCAATATTCCTTTTTCCAATTCACGTTCAATATTTTTTTTTGCTTCCCACTTTCATTTTTGTTTTTTAAATAGACTTATTGAGGGTAAGTGGCTGGACTTGATATAATAGCTATTATATCATTGATGCTTGATTAATGTATTGTTATAACCAAAAACTGAGACCCAGGGACCACGAAGAACCCACCAAGCCACCAGCACATTCAACATGCAGCAACGTTGATTGTATTAGGAATTACCATCCATTAGCATTTTCCTTGTCTTGTAACAAATCTGCAATTTCTCCAAGATGATTTGGTATCTTACAATAAGTAGACATCATTGTTTTGAGATAGCAATGGATGGTCAAAATGTCAGTAGAGGTATATGAATAGGTAGGTGCTGGCCTCTTAACCCTGTTGCAAAGAAAATGGTCCTTAACCACTAATGTGATTTAAGTGTCGTGTTAGAATTTAGATTCAGTGCAAAATAAAATACAATATTTGGTATGCAAATAATTAAATGAATACCACCTCTTGTATATTTGGGGAAAAATAATTCATCTACTTTTTAGTTGTAATAAGAAGAAAGATTCCTAGAAAATACGTAGCCTCATGTTAGGATGTTAAACTTGGACAGGTCAAATCTATTGGTAGACTTGTTTTGAGCTACTGAAAACATGAGATAAGAAACAGAACCGACACTTAAGTATGAGAATTTAATTTAGTGTTTCCTTGTTAATATTGTTTTGAGGTGGTGTCTCATGTAGCTCAGACAAGCCTTGAGGTCACCAGGTAGTGAACTGATCCCCCTGCTTCCACCTCAAAGCTTCTGAGGCTATATGTGGTATGCTTTTAGGCTTAGTTTATGTGGTTGCTGGCACTGAACCAAAAGCATTGTGAATGCTAAAATGAACCACATCCCAGCCCCATTCATTTTTTTCTTTCAATAATAGTTTTAAAGACTTGGTTGATTAATAAATTAAAGGATTAATAACACCTCTAAGCAAGATTTTTTAATCTCAGCATTTTTATCATTAAATCATTTGGCATAATGAGTGCTTTTGGATATATTTTATAGCCTATTTACAACAATAAATATGAATGTTCATATTTATACAAAGCATGTCTCAAACTCTTCTTGTTCATGTAGCCAAAAAGGTAAAGATCCACTGGGTAGTAAGGCCAGTCAGACATTGTGCAAGCTCTTTGTTCCGTGAAGCCAATAGCAATCAAGGTTAGAAAACAAGGTTAGTCCAGGCAGTTGTGGACAATCCACCACACAAGTAGTAAACGTGACCTCTTTTTAATTCCATTTTAGGATTTTTTTGTTTGTTTGCTTTTTTTGGTAAAACTTCCTTTTATAGGGGGGCATAAAAAGCATGTTGTACAGGTAAGTATGAACGTATGTATGACTGATTCAATTTGTTCTAACACCTTCATGTTGATGTTTGGTTTTTGTTTTGTGTTTGGTTCTTGAAGACAGGGTCTCTCTGTGTAAGCCTGGCTGTCATGGAACTCATTCAATAGATCAGGCTGGCCTTGAGAAGGAGATCCACCTGCCTCTGCCTCCTGGCATTAAGGCCTGCACCAATGGCCCTGGTTCACAATTCAAGTTTTAATCCCCAGTGTCTTACTTAGTTGGGAATGCGTTTAACAGGGTTGATCAGGTTAAAATGCTCTTGTGAGGATGAGTGCTACTCCAGGTAAGTGACAGTTTTTGAAAGGGATACATTGAGACACTAGGGACAATAGAGAAACAGTAACCTGGAACTAAGGTAAGAAGCCTTTGAAAAAGTCAATCTTGCATTCATTTTGGCTTTAAACTTCCAGTCTTCGGAAATCAAAGAAAACAACTGTTTAATGCACTAAAATGGTGGTGCTTAGCCATGCTAACCCTAGTCCAATAGTAGCAAGAGGTGAAGAATAATATTCAAATGGTCTTTGATAAAACATGTAATAAAAAGTTGAGGACCACCGATTAATTCACTGTGTTGTACACTGTTCCCTCAACAGTATATAAATGGAACTTACAATTAATTGATGACTTATATCCTATTTACCTTTTAGTTATAAAATTGAGCCACCAATTAAAGGGAAACCATTTCCCTTTCCTACTGTTTTTGTTTTTGTTGTTGTTTGTTTGTTTGTGGAAAGGAATATGTTTCTACACTTCTGTTTCTACAAAACAAAAAGATTATTACTATTTTCACCATCTCTGCCATACTTTAAAACCTTCATTGTCTGAATGTATTCCCTGGATCAGATGATATATACTTCTCAGTAAATGAGTATCAGCAGAACATCACTTATAAAGTATCCTCTATTCAAACAAAAACAGGTAATAAAAGCCAGGGGGTAATAAAACCTATAAGTTTTTATATATAAAACAACTATATTTATAAAGCAGTTTCTACTTTAGAAAACTTTTACCCGGAAGCATGGATTTCACTTTTTAGAGTGGGAAAAAATGAATACCTTGAGTATGATGGCACAACACATGGATCCTCAAATTAAATAATTTGTGAAGAGTTTTAATTATGGGTTGGGGTAGGGTGTGCATGACAGTGCAGAGGCCCTGAAAAGCAAAGAAGACTTCAGGTGTGCTAGAGTTGGAATTACAGCCCGGGATGAACTGCCTGCTGTGGATGCTGAGAAGAGAACACAGGTCTTTTGTGAAAACAGCACGTGTACCTGGCAGTGGCAGTGGCACAAACTTTAATCTCAGCAATTGGGAGGCAGAGGCAGGTGGATCTCTGTTGAGTTCAAGGCCAATCTGGTCTACAGAGCGAGTTTCAGGACAGCCAGGACTGATATACAGAGAGAACCTGTCGCAACGCCTCGTGCCCCTGCCAAAAGCAGCAGAACAGCACACGCCCTTACTTTTAGTCATCTCTCCAGATTCCAAAGTATTTTCAGTTAGAGAACATTTAGTAAACGTTCAATGGCTTTGTTTATAGGTGAACTTTTCTAGACTATTCAGAGTTTTAGTAAATTATAAAGATTAACGGAAATAGTGCTTAATTTTCTGGTTGAAGGAAACGTGGCATGGGGCTGGAGAAATAGCAGCCTGGCAGTTAAGTGCATTGGTTGCTCTTCAAGAATTCTTGGGATGCATCCCAGTGCTCACATGACAGCTCACCAGCATCTATAACTCCAGTTCCAAGAGATTCAAGACCTTCTTCTGAACTCTACACTTATAGATGCTCTCTCTCTCTCTCTCTCTCTCTCTCTCTCTCTCTCTCACACACACACACACACACACACACACACACACACACACACACACGAGGCATACACGATACAGGCAAAACACCAGATATATATGAAATTAAAGTTCAGTTGGATGATGACATACGCCTTTAATCCCAGGATTTAGGAGGTGGATTTTCTGTTAAATTTGAGGCCAGCCTGGTCTACAGAGCCGAGTTCCAGGACAGCCAGGACTCATATAGAAACCCGTCTTAAAAAAACCAAAACCAAAACAAACCAAACCAAACAAAAACAAAAACAAACCCTTAAAGTTAAAAAAAGAAACAACACTTAAATAACTATTAAAAATTATAAATTTGTTTGCCTCAGTACAGGAAAATTGGGAGAAACATAAATCTCTTGAAATTTTAGTTAGCATACTGTACAGTTCCACACTCCACATTCATTACATACAATACCATATATGTAATATATACATATGAATTACCTAGTAAGTACACATGGAATTTTCTTCTAAATAAGATAAAATGTATCTTTTGGGAAGTAGAGTTAACAAAACACTGGGTACAGTAGCACAGACACACACACAGAGAAATCACAATGTTGTTTCTAACATCTTTATACAGTTTTCGCATAAAAAAAGAAGAGTTACTTTAATCCACCAATTTAACTCTTTCCATACTAATAATGCAAAAATAAATCGATTCGCAAAAGAAAATCATTCAAAATCAGGAAAGAAAAAGATACATGGGATACTGGTGTAAATTATTTTTTTATTCTGTGAAATGTTATAATTCATGATGAATAAGAATGAAAATGTATAATATAACAAAATAAGCATAGAAGTGTAAAAATCTGAAAGGATTTACAAAACATCTTTTAGAGGAGTTTTACACTGCTTTACGAAAACATATTATTATAGAAAACTTCGATTCTAGTTTATGTTACATTCAATTTCAAAATAGTTTTTAAGAAATAGAGTCGGCAATTACTGTATTCTACAGTAAACATTGGTAGGAAGCAAGAATTTGTTTTTAAAAATCTTTATTCTCAAAGCAGATGAATGTTAAAAGATAGCAAAAGTGCGAGGTTAGTTTTAAAAGGGAATTTAAATATTACAAAATAACCAAAAAGATGAGCACTGGT